GTAACATATAGGCAAAGCCTAAAAGTCTGAATTGCAGGTGAGCTGGTTGTGACTAATGCTGTGATTCCTCTTCGTAAGCAATGCAAGCCACTGCTGGACCAGCAGACGGAAATCTCTTCCACAGTGAGCTGGTGTCCACCAGCCAAAGAATGCAGATCCCACCACAGAGACTTCATGCAGCCCATGACTCACCCAGCAACCACTCTCCCTGCGCTTGAGTCACACACGAAGAAGCTGCAGATGGCCCTGGCTCTGCTGAGGTTCAGCTGCAATTTCAGCAGCATAGTTCAAGCACTGGTAGGGTTGAAAGAAGAACAAGACCCAAAGGTCAAGCAAATGGCAGTACGGCCATCCTGAAGGAAGAAGCTGAGAAGAAAGGTCCAAGAGATAAGAACAGATGCCAAATGAGAAGCCAGAGATGAAGGAGACCGCAGCCAGACTGAGGATTGGGCTACAATCTGTGGACAATTCATCGGCATTGCAGTCAGAAGAGCTGCTCATGACCAGAAGGGTGAAGAAGAGAAGTGCTCCAGCTCTGGACAAGGTACCCACAGGACTGCTTGGGTCAGGCCAAGCAGTGGCAAATGTGACCTTTCAGGTCTACCCAGGTATTTAGAGTCATGGCACCAGCACTGTGATTTGGGAAGACCAGAGAACATTCCAGTCCTGAAGAGGGATGGGGAGGAGGTACGAGTGGCAGGATCATTTCTTGGTAATGCTATTGAGCAATGTCAGCCTGGAAAAGCCGGGAACAGATTCAAAGGAGCAGGCAGGGTGTGGACTGGAGGGGCCACAAGAGGTAACGTAACCAATCTGTGGATGGTGAGGGGAAAGGCAGAAAAACATTGGCTGACTGTCTAGTCAGCATCGCTAAGGCATTTGATTCAATAGGATGTGACATGCTGCAGCTGATTGGGCTAAGGACACAGATGCTTTGGTGGATGAGCTCTGCCACTGACAACTGGTTTAGGGAAAATGCTAAGATAGTTGGTAAATCATTCAATAATATGAGAGAACAGAACATATTAATATCTTTATCAATGATCTCAATGAGGGGATCAGTAAGTTTGCAGATGACACCAAGTTGGGTGGAAGTGTTGATCTGCTGGAGGGTGGGAAGGCCCTACAGAGGGACCTGGACAGGCTGGATCGATGGGCCGAGGCCAACTGTATGAGGTTCAACAAGGCTCAGTGCCGGGTCCTGCACTTGGGTCACAACAACTCCATGCAACGCTACAGGCTGTGGGAAGAGTGGCTGGAGAGCTGCCTGGCAGAAAAGGACCTGGGGGTGTTGGTTGACAGCCGCCTGAACATGAGCCAGCAGTGTGCTCAGGTGGCCAAGAGGGCCAATAGCATCCTGGCTTGTATCAGAAATAATGTGGCCAGTGGGATGAGGGAAGTGATCATCCCCCTGTACTCAGCACTGGTGAGGCCACACCTCGAGTACTGTGTTCAGTTTTGGGCCCCTTGCTACAAGAACGACATTGAGGTGCTGGAGCCTGTCCAGAGAAGGGCAACGAAGTTGGTGAAGAGTCTAGAGCACAAGTCTTATGAGGAGCGGCTGAGGGAGCTGGAGTTGTTTAGCCTGGAGAAAAGGAGGCTCAGGGGAGACCTTATCTCTCTCTGCAACCACCTGAAAGGAGGTTGTAGCGAGGTAGGGGTCGGTCTTTTCTCCCCAGTAACAAGCGATGGGACGAGAGGGAACGGCCTCAAGCTGCGACAGGGCAGGGGTAGGTTGGGTATTACGATGAGTACTGTGTTCAGTTTTGGGCCCCTTGCTACAAGAACGACATTGAGGTGCTGGAGCCTGTCCAGAGAAGGGCAACGAAGTTGGTGAAGAGTCTAGAGCACAAGTCTTATGAGGAGCGGCTGAGGGAGCTGGAGTTGTTTAGCCTGGAGAAAAGGAGGCTCAGGGGAGACCTTATCTCTCTCTGCAACCACCTGAAAGGAGGTTGTAGCGAGGTAGGGGTCGGTCTTTTCTCCCAAGTAACAAGCGATAGGATAAGAGGAAATGGCCTCAAGTTGCACCAGGGGAGGTTTAGATTGGGTATTAGGAAAAATTTCTTCACTGAAAGAGTATCAGGCACTGGAACAGGCTGCCCAGGGAAGTGTTTGAGTCCCCATCCCTGGAAGTATTTAAAGAATGGATAGATGTGGTGCTTAGGGACATGGTTTAGTGGTGGACTTGGCAGTGCTAGGTTGATGGTTGGACTTGATGTTCTTAAAAGTCTTTTCCAACCTAAACAATTCTATGATTCTATGTAACCCTGATTACCTCAGAAGTATAGAATAATTTAGGTGGGAAAAGCCCTTGGGAAGTCTCCAGTCCAATCCTCTGCTCAAAACTGGGCCACCTCCCACCCTCAATCAGGTTGCCAAGGACCCCATCCAGTCAGGTTTTGGAAATCTCCAAGGATGGAGATCCCTCCACACCTGGGTGCTGTCCCAGGGCTGCACCATTCTCAGGGTGATAGTTTTTCCTTGAGTCTTATCTGGCCATTGCCTCTTGCCCTTCCCTGTGCACCTCTGAGAAGAGTCTAGCTCCATCTTCATTTAAACTCCCCCCACCGCTTTTGAGTAGTTTTAGAGAGCAATTAGATCCCTCCCTTAGACTTCTCCAGGCTAAACAAACCCTGTTGCCTCAGCAGCTCCTCACACGCCACATGCTCCAGCCCCTGATGATCATGGTGGACTTCCACTAATCTCACTCCTTTCCACTCCTTTAGCAATGAGCATCTGCCTACTAGCTGGGGACCAGACTCAGTCAATGAGTAGGTAATAGGGAAGGGGGATGGACTCTCAACCACTGTGTCCAAAACAAAAGCAGTAGCAAAAAAAAGAGAGGAACAAGACCTGAGGATTGCAACAGAAGGGCTGGGTTAAAGGAGCTTTTGTATGTAGGATCAGTCACAAATTGAGGTACTTTGTGCAATGAGGATATTCACAGTAAATAAGACACAGCAAGAGCAGTCCCAGAAAAGTCATCCAGGATCTGAAAGAGCAAAGGGGGCAGCTTGGAAATGAGAACCAAAATTTGGAGGTAGCTTTGTACCTTATGGGCACATAGGCCCTTTAGCAGTTGGACCTCACACCAAGGAGATTCAGGAAGTGGAAACTTTTGAAATATAACCTTGGAGAAATGTAATGACTGTCCCATGGAGAAGGCTGATGTGACGCAGGATATTAAGTATAAAGAGAGGAAACCAAGATTTGAGGGAAAGTGCCTTTAGGAAAGAAGAGCACCTTGTCCAGCACTCAGGGGTGAGTGAGAGGAGACTGAGAAGAGCATGGATGAAGGACCCAGAGGAGTGGATGGAGCTGGGTACCGGCCAGGGAATGAGATTAGCCATGAATATGCAATTGTGCAGAGATCTGGCTTACCAAATACCACCCCTTAAACCAAGGACAGCTGATAGCAACGGGCAAAGAGGAAGCTGTCGGTCTCCAGAAGGTGTGATCTTAGCTGGAGTTCAGCATGGGGAGGACCAGCATGTCTCTCCCCTTTACCAGCTCCCCGTAAAGCCCCCAGTTCACCTCCCTACTGAGACTCCTAGCTGTGATGGTGGAAAAAATCACACCCCCGATGCCCACTCTGGCTCAACATCGTGATGAAAGGACTGTCTCTCTGGACCACAACATGGAGCTCCATCAAGGCTTAGGCCCCGAATGAAGACCTGCTGCAGCATCTGAGCACAAGAAGAGCTTTGTGTCTCACCAGAGTGGCCATCCAGGGACTAGCAGTTGCTTGTCACCCTGTTCTGGTCACCATGGTGGTACAGAGCTGAGCCCTGGAAGACCTTGCTAAAAGTCTTGTGCATGCTTTCTGCTGGGGAGTAGGGCAACCTGGGCAAGCCTGCAGATTGTACTAAAGGTTACTGACTACACAGAGACCACAGGCAGCTCAGGAAGTCCCTTGAGGTGAGACCAGGTGGGGACTGGAAGAGTATTTGTGCGAAGTATTGGATACACTCCCCTATTCTTTTATTCCTCCCATGGCATCTAATTACAGTCATCGTTGGAGGCAACGACCTGGAGGAGCATAGCCACTCTTTCATTCTGAAGGTGGTGGCTGGTGACTTGCATCTGGGACCTGCTGTCACCTCCTCCCCCTCTTAATGAGATTCCTAAAACTGGGGTCACTGCCCCTGTTGGGCAGCAAGAACCCTGCTCGCATGTAGCTGGGACAGCAGGCTTTGAAAGGACGTGGATTTGGGGCTCTGCCCAGTGCTGAGTCAGCAGGACAAGACAGGCTTGAGTCACCTTCCCGGAGAAGGAGGAGGGAAGCCACCGGTGCGTCATGGCCTGCCACATACCACAGGCATTTCCAGGTGCAGGAGGCACCTGGGTTCTCAGGACTCCCAGCTGCCCTACTCCTGGGGCATCTAAACAGGGAAGAGCAAAAGGGTGCCTGGTGTGGGGCAAGTAGGGAAGGGGAAGACAACAGGGAAACTGAGAAGACTCTCTGCAATGCTTGGTCCATCAGAGCAGATGGGCCATGTCTGGCAAAGCTCATTTAAGTACCTGCCCACTGAGAAGACGGTGGTCTCTCCAGGGTGCATCCTGCCTTTGCCATCCTTGGACCGTCCTTGCCGATGCAGTGGGTGCCTCTTCCTCTTGCTGCAGTGGATGCAGGGGGCCTGCGTGGAGCCCAGATGCACTGTGTGGTGATGTGGTGGGCCCCCGTCCTGGCTGTTACGATGAGGACAAAGGCTACAATAGGAGAAGGATATGACAGGTCATATTATCTGGAGGAGCCTTCCCAACCTTGGTGCAGGCTCACTGTGGCAAGTCCTGAGAAGCAGCAGCTCTGGGGAGGACAGGAATGAGAAGGGCTATTCCCCTTGACAGTGGAGTGAAGCACTCATTGCAAACTGTGGGGGAACAGGACTTCTTGTTGGGAAGATGCTTTATAACAAGCTGGAAAGGGGCTGACTGCAGAGTCAGCAGGCCAAGGTGATACCCAAAGGCTGCTTCTCCCTTACTCTGCAAGAGCTACAAGCTGGTATAGGCTTCCCTCACCTGGGCACTGGCACTGGGATTTCCCCTTCATTGTCCCCCAACATCTCCTTGAGGGCCTCTGCATTTGCTGAAGAGAGAGGAAAAAGGGAATGTGTCAGCCAAAGTGGTCAGCATGTCTCTGGGCCAGCCCTAGGAAATGCTCACCTTCATTTTGGATGATGCATCTCACAATCTTCTCCACAGTGTCCTCGTTCAGCTCCTCCTCTTCATCTGAAAAAAGAAAATGTGGCACTGAGGGCTGGGATTCAAATACTCAGCTCACCAGTCCCTCCCCAGGAGCAGCCGCGTCGACAGAGAGGTTGGAGAAGCCTTGTGTCCCCCATCACACTGGGAAGACTCTGGGGAACACCAGATACCTCACCCTGGAAGAGAAATGGCTAAAACAGCAGCCATGTGTGGAGGGAGAGGGGGGTTGTGTTGTTCCTTCAGAACTGGGGAGCATCACGTGAAATTAATGGGAAGAAGGTTCAAAACAAGTTCAAAGAGAAGGTTTCTTGTGGGGACAGTCCAGCTCTGGAGCCCCTGGGTGCAGGATGCTGTGGGTGCTAAAAGTCTCCAAGGGTATTCAGGACAAGTTCACAGAAAAGAAACCCACCGGGGCCTATTAAATACGGAGAAACCATTTCTGATGGAGAAAGCCCCAGAGCTACGCACTGTTAGAAGCTTAAAAGAGTATGCTGGGGAAACTTGGCTCAGTGTCTGCTCCGTTGTCGTATTCATCCCCAGCATTCATTGCAGCCTGCTTCTGGCCACTGTTGGAGGCACGAGCCTTGGCTGACTTGACCTTCATCCCAGTCTGCAGTGTTATATGTTCCTGCGAGCAGGTCAGAGTTGTAGTCTGGTAGGCAGCTGCCTCAGAGAGCATGGACAGGGGCTGCTGCTGCGCTCCTGGAAGCCCACAGAGATGTTTCCCTGGGCTGTGGCAACTCCAGCGGGCAAAGCCAATCCTAGAAGGTTCAGACTCTGTCTCTGTGTCATATGCAGCCAAGTCATTGAAGCCAGAGTAGCATATCCAAGGATGCCTGGAAGCTCCCGCTGCATCCGTGGGCAAGCTGAGGGAGCCACGTGTCCCTCTCGTGCATGAGAAGTGGCAGCAGGAGGTGCTGACCCTCCTGGGTGCTGTCGATGGCATAGAGGAGCCAGAGGAGTTATGTAGCACCATTTGGCTGTTTTCAGGCAAGGAAGCAGCCGGAGGAACGTGTCTTCATTTCAGCAGAGACTCATGAAAACACTAAATGACAGAGCTTGCTTGAACTGAGATCTGGCTTGCACCTATGCTCGATGCTGCAGTGACTTCTGAATCCTGCTACCCAAGAGCCACTTACGATGGCCTGAAGCGATGGAAAAACCCCTAAAGGTCCCCTTCCAGCGTGGGGCAGAGATCCCAAGGAAACACCCCTATTCCTCTGGCCTGCATGAGCACAACAGGGACTAGAAGAGCACACGACTGATAGCAAACACCATGCTGGCCCCATGCTGGACCTCCTAATGCCAAAGGGGCAGAGGGACAGCTCGTGCCCTGCCTGGGGATGCTTTCCTTGTAGCAGACATGGGTTATAATTCAGGTGCTGGGGATTCGGCAGGTCCTGGCTGTTGACCAGAATTATCTTTTGGTGATAATGCCACTTTGGGAAGGGCCAGACACGGGCTCCACCTCCCTGGCACCAGCAGCCTTCACCAGCCTGCAGAGCCAGCAGATCAGAGGGCTCTCCGGGCCACATGCTCCCAAATCCCTGGGGAACACTGCACTGCTCTCACCACCCCATCCCTTTTTTCCAACCCAGCGGCGTGTGATGGGTAACCTTCCCACCTCCAGCCCACATCCCAGAAGCATGTTTAAGGAGCGTCAGTCCACACCAGCAAAAGTGCCCGAGTCCCCACTGAGCCCCCATCGCCCCAGCACTCACTGGCCTGGAGCTCCGCCAGCACATCTTTGTTATCTGGGTCGAGCTCGTCCCGGAAAGTCCGGCACCGGTAACCCTTCTTCTTCAGGACATGGCAAATCAGGAAACCCACCAGCCCCATGATGAAGAAGACGAGGACAAGAAGGAAGACCATAGACAGGCTGTGCTGGGGGTCTGACTCCCCATCATCGGTGCTGTTCTGGTCTGACATGCGGATCTAGGAGAAAGGGGAAGGCAGATCAGAGACCCCAGTGCTCACCCCCTGCCAGGCTCCCCGTGCCCATCCTCTCCATCCTCTTCCTCCCATCTGCCTTGGCTAGAGCCAGCTCCCGGCTCAGGGTGGGCTGCCAAGGGCTCATCTCTCGCCCCACCAGGTCCATCGTGGCAGGGCCCCCGTGGAAGAGAGGGCAGGCTGGAGGCGGCTCAATGCGGTCTCCCAAGGACACCGCTGCCCCGCACGCACCCGGCAAGAGCCATCCCAAGGGCAGTGGTGGCGGCAGCAGCATCCCCGCAGGCCCGCCTGGCTCCGAGCTGCGGTGCTCCCCCGTCCCTTGCAGGTGGCTTCCCAAGGGCACCGTTCCCCCGGCCTCCCCTGGGCTCTGCAGCAGGCAGCATCACCCCGCTCGCCCTTGCGGGGGGATGAGCATCCTCATCGAGCCGTGCCAGCCCACTCCCCCTGCATCCCGCGCTACTCACAGCCGAGGGCCTCTGCCGGCAAAGGCAAAGGCAGGGCAGGCAGGGAGCGGCGGCAGCCGGGCTGGCGGAGGGCCGAGCCGGCCGGCAGCTCCCGTATCGTCCTCCCACAGAACCGAGCTCGCTCCCTCCGCCCCGGCTCCCCTGGGCTTTCCCATCTCCCTTCCCAGGGGCTCAGAGCTCAGCCACCCGCTTGCCAGCTCTGCTTCCCAGCACAGGCAAGGTCTCCCCCAGCTGTCCCCCATCCCCGCTGCGGCGGTACCTGGGCCTGCGGTCCTCCGCAGCACTCTCCTCTTCACCTTCACCTGCCTCCTAGCAACCCCGCATTCCCGTGGCTGGGCACCGCGGCGAGCATCCTCCAGCCCCCCGGCTCCCGGTTGCCTTCCTTCCTCTGGAAGGAGCCAAGCTGCTTCTGTCTGCCGCGGCAGCCCGCCACTGTCTGCCCGCGAGGGCACCCGCCTGTCCCGACCCCGGAAAAATCTCTCCGAAGCAGTTTCAGCGGATGAAGGTGCAGAGGGAAGCTCAGGGAAATGCCGGCAGCTGCAGCGGGGAGTGAGCAGGAGTGCCGCTCAGGGAAGCCGGTGCTGGCAAGCTGCTGCCCGCCCCAGGGCAAATAGCCTCACCCTCACGCGAGCCAGCTCCAATTTCCCCTAGCACCCTCCTTTCCAAAGCTCTCGGCGATTTTTAGGGCACTGAGCCATGGCAATGGGAATGCAGAGGGGTGGAAGTGGGTCTCAGCAACACCAGGACTGTTCCCACACCAGCGTGTGTGGGGGGAGAGGGGTGCAGACACCGGCATCGTGACCACAGCACCCAAGGAGACAGTGGAAAAGGAGCCCCAGGAGACCCTGCAGCCCAACACCCTGCCCCAGGCCAACTGCTTCTCCCTCCTGGCTGAAAAAAGGATGGATAAGCCATTCAAAATCTCCAGCCATGGTGGTCCCACGACCTCCCTCTCCATCTCCACCCTATGTGATGATGAGGGCTCCTGCCCCTCTCCACAAGTGACCAAGAGTCAACTCCCAGGAGCCCAGGACCCTCCTCCATCACCATACCTTCAGGAGGTCACCACATCGCAGGTGCCACCTGTCTGTCTGCTGTCCTGGCAGGGAGACAGGCCCTAAGATGGCCCAACTATGGCAAGAAAAGACCATGGGCAGCAAGACTTATTGCTTCTGCCATGCATTGCTAGGGCTGCAGGAGAGGAGAGGTGTCCTAATGCTGGACCAACAAGCTGCAACATCATGCAAGTCTCAGTTGATCAAGACCTTAAAGGCGGTTTACTTCTTGCCCTTGTTTCTTTGAAGAGGGTGACCTCGCAGGACTGGGTTCCTGGAGAGCCCCAGGGGGGATGCAGTCATGGTGAGCTTATTCCCATTTTTTCTCGTGCCCACGCACGCTGTTCTGCACAATAAATCGCTCTTTCTCCTCCCAGGCGTTCCCGCCCACCCAACACATTGCTGCACCCTACCCCCCTTCCAGCCTTCAGCCATGCCAGGCAAAACGAGCCCGGGTTGCTCAGCCCCCCCTGCTTTGAGAGAATATTCCCATTTTCCCACAGCCTCTGGTGTCAAAACATTTCCACAACCTGGGGGGCGCAGGACAGGGAGACGGAAGACGGCGCAGCAGCCCGCCTGGGAACAAATCCTAGCCCTGCGTGGAGTGAACTGGGATGAGGAGGGGGCTCCACTACCGTCAAGTTGCTCCCACCCGGCTCTGCAGCTGGGTTATCCCAGCTGATGACATTTCTCCTCCTGATGCTCTCCCCAGGCATCACATGCTCCCAGTCTCTGTCCTGCTTCCACCACCCCAGCCTCAGCATCCCTCTGGGCTGCTTCGTCCTCATCCGACTGCGGGACCCCCTTAGCACTTTTATGGCCAGACTGTGAGCCTTGTCCCAGGCAGCACCCTGCAGGTGACCCAAAAAAGAGGACACAGCTCCTCTCTGCCCTGACACCAGCCAGCATGGCAGGCGTGAATCCACGCAGCTGAGCTCTCCCTCCCAAACAGGCTGGCCGTGTCCATCCTGGCCAGTGGGGCTGGTCCCCACGTGGGGCTAACCCCCACACCGTGCTGGGGAGGTACGAACATGGCTGCAGGCTGGATGCTCGTGGCATGTCAAGAGGCTGGGCTCTGCATCCTCTGTCCCCTCCTGCCCCCGTTGCAGCTCCTGTTCCCATCCTGTGCGACCCCACCAGCCAAGGCAGTGCAAGCTGAGACACAACAGCAATCCAGCCACAGCTCCGGGACAGGCGGCTGCCCACTTGCTGCCTGCCTGCTCCACTCACCACCACCATCCCCCTGCCCTTCCTCTCCAGGTCACCCACTTAGGGGTCCCTGGTGGGTGCAGGTGTGAATCCTGGAGGGACCTTGGAGGCTTTGCTCCCTCTCATGACACTGCCTGGAAGTCCTTAAATTTTAAGCCACCTGGCCAAGAGGTGGCCGGGCAGGGAGGGGATGGAGCAACTGAGCAGAGGGTGGAAGGACAGTACTGTCCCCCCTTGCCCCATCCCGCAGCCGGCTCCGGTCCCAGCGTGTTGCCACGTTACCTCTCGTCCGCACCCTTCCCGCACCTCCTCCGCAGCCTTTATGACAGACGTCACCCCGCAAACAATGTGAACGCGCCCGCTCAGGGGATCGTCCGTCCCGGCCCCGCTGGTTGTCCACGTGGCAGCTAAACAGGCCAGATTGCCCGGCTCCAGCAATCCTGCGGGCAGGCTCCTCCTAGGGTCTCCGCTACAATGCTCAGGACAAAAATTGCCATCATCTGTGCAAAAATGCTGCATCCCATCGTGTCAAACATCTTACTGAATCTTAAGCCCTTATTGAAGTTTTTCAAGCATCCCCAGCAAGCTAATGGCCTTTAAACCACAGCATGTTTTTGCTCTGTGAGCACAAAGACCATCTAAAAATATCCCTCTCCGATGCTTTCTTTGCACTGCTCCAAGACCCGTGAAGATGACCCAGCTTCCAGAGAGCAAGCTCAGCCAGCAAAGTGAATCCCACCGGAGGCAGGGATGCGTTTCTCCCCTCGTCTCCCTTTCCCCCAGCCAGGCGGCTCGGCCATGCCACTGGGGCAGGTTGGTGGCCTGGGCTGGACATTATCTGGTGGCAGCACCTTGCAGAGCGGCAACTGGATGCTATCTGGTGGCAGCACCTTGTGGAACGGTGACCGGGCGATCGTCATGCCGAGTGAACAGCCCCTGCCGAGACGTCAGCGTGCTCCACGCATTTTCTGCTACACCCTTGTTGTTCAGCACGTTTAAAGCCTATTTATTTAAGATGGTGGGTGCTGGGCTCAGTGCTTACTGTGCCAGGGATCGCAGCTCTGAGCATCCCCGACCACAGCTCTGCCCTGTGGGGTCATGCCCAGAGGGTCCCGGCTTCCCCCGGAGCATCCTTGCTCCGTGCTCGGGAGCCAGCATCCTAGAGGGAAACACGCACGAGGAGCGGCACGGAGGGAGCAGCGTCCCCGCAGTAAGTGGCAGATCCAACCAGAAGCATCATTTAATAATCCCACGATTTAATCACACCTTGACACTGGTTCTCTTGCCTGCTTGCGGCCAGGACAACACCCAAAATCCCATGCCATCCCACTGTCACCTTGCTGCCCTGCCAGCGCCATCCCACGCACTCTGGGCCATGCACGCATGAAGCTCCCCTTGCTGTACGCTGAGGGATTTCCCTCCCGTACATTTATTACCCAGCATCAAAATCCTGTCGCCGAGAAGCCAGGGAGCATCCCAGCGCCGACCTGCCATGGTCTCCATCCTCAGCCAGCTCTTGGCATGCCCCTTGGGGGTCCTTGCCCTTTGCCTGCTTCTCTCTGAAACCCCGTTTTATTGCAGGTGGTCTGGGCAGCCTGCCTCCAGCGCAGCATCCTTCGTCCCCAACCTCCTGCCTGTGGGAAGCGATTGGGCAGGAGACCGGCAGGACCAGGTCCTTGCCAAGCACCAATTTCGGCTAATTTGTTTTCCAAGCCTTTGGGCAAGACTACCTGTTCCTTTCATCCTTTCTTCTTTCCAGCCCACGGGGGACAGGGTTTTGCCACCGGTGTCACCCGCGGTGCGGCCCCGTCCCTGTCCCTCGCCGGCTCCGGGTGAGGCTCAGGGTTTTTCCCCCGTTCTCCATGGCTGCTTTTTCGTACACGGCAATTTTCCACCCAGCTTTTGTTCTCTGCCTGCCTGGCGGTGCCTCCCTGTCCCCACTCCCTGCCAACCACGGCAGGTTATTTTTGGAGGCTGCCAGAGGTCGGGAGGACCTGCATCCTGGCGGGGTGGGACCTGGGAGGGCTGCTTGGCCGGGTGACAGTCGGCAGTGGCAGTCCCTGTCCCTCCCAGCTCGGGGGGCTGCTCCCAGGAAGGGGACGAGTCCCAGAAAGGTGTGGGTGCCCTGCGGGGACCCCGCTGCCGCGTCCCCTGTGCCCTCGGCGGGTGGGCTGCGGTGACTGGGGGTGACTGGGGGGCAAGCGGGGGTAACTGGTGAGCAGCTGGGGGTGACTGGGGGGCAGCTGTAGGGCTACAGGAGAGAATCCAGTGGGCAACTGGGATCAACTGAGAGTAACGGGGATCACCTGGGAGTAACTGGGGACAGCTGGGGGCAGCCGGGGTGTCTGGGGGTAGGTGAGGGGCAACGAGGGGTTACTGGGGTGCGACTCGAGGTAACTGGGGATAGCTGGGGTGCCGGGGCAGGCGCTAGGACCGCGGGGGCGCCGCAGCAGCGATCGCCCCGCCCTC